TGAGATATCCTACTGCTTTTTACTTTAAAATGCTACTTATTCAGATGCCTGGATAATAATTTCAGAATTTTTGGAAATTTCATCTCCAAAGGGCGAAAAGGTGTCTGAATAAACGGGGCTAAATTTAACAATATAATATGATGTATATCGATTTTGTATTTTCTTTTTTACAATTCAAACCAAAAAGTTTGTTTAAAAAATAATTTTGCCAAATCCCGAAATCAACACTAGCGAAAAAAACGTCAATTTTTATTGTTGGCGAAGTTTCTTTCAGTTCCTGAAAAAATGAAATTCCTCAAGATAACTGACCCTTGCACCAGAGTCTTCAATTATTCAAATACAAGAATTATTTTCTAGTTTAGCTGTTCGATTACTGTACGAAACCATATAATATAGAAATGATAAAAAGTGCGTGTTTCAACCGACAATTACTGACACCAATCCGATTATGAGCCAGGACATTGGTAATGTTTATCAATACAAATATAGCAAGTGCTACTCTATCGCGAGATCTGTCAAGTCAAGGTCATAGTCGAGTGCAGGAGTACTCGATGAACTTTCAACATCGATTTATTCAGGGAAGCAACGCTTCATATAAAAAAAAAAGAAAAATATTAACTCCACATTTTCGATTTATTCTTTCATGTAGAATCACCTGACATCAAGTTATAGTACATTATACACATAACGAAATATTCTTTTTTGTTCGCACGGTAATTGGGACAGTTTTGAATAAATAAAGGAAATGCTAATTAATAGGTTACTAGTGTCTAAATAAATAAACAAAATTTCAAAATATTCGGTTGATGGAGTTTTGCACATATATTTCGCAAAAATACGCTAATTATTAGAGCGTTACACTCATCTGATTCCTTCAATTGACAAAACTACTCAAAATAAGGGAATAAACAAACAGATTCGGCAGAGTCGCTGAAACTCCACCTGGATACTAGAGGGTTAAAAAAGGGATAAAAGATTATTCTTCATACAAAAGATACAAGGTTATCGAATATCCACATACGCCAGTTTCGCCTCGTAATGCCAGATTTACTTCCGTCCTACGCACCCTACGGCTGTTGTTTACTATCGTTCGACGGTTGATTATTACCTGAGACACCGATCGTCATATATTTTATGTAGAATACAACGTGTCCCTCTAAAAGGGTGATCGACCAATGCTGCTTAATTTATGACCGCAGTTGAAGGGAAAAAGCATCCATATTTTTTCGACGTGAGAAATAAGTTCAGAAAAAAGAAGCGAAAGAAAAAGATGAATGCGATCCCTTTTACCTCTTCAGGACGAAATACCTTGACGGCCATTAATCTTTCTAGAGATAGACTAACGATCCGAGAGAAACCTAGAGGGTCCTTTTTCCCGAAAGGGCGGCAAGTCATTGCCTAATTCAACGCGTACTCGGTAAAATGCTTGGCGAAACTCAGAATCAGAAATCATTTTTCTTTTATGTAATACTTGTAAATACCGATGGACGCAACATTCTAACGTGTACAATGAGTCACAGAAGTATTCGTGACCTTCCAATTGTGGATTTCAAGGGATTGTTGATGGATATTAAAGTTAAGTAACTATAACATTGTCGAAAAATCTAGCACTTTCAAGAAGCTGTTCAAAATACTGGTCGTTGGAATTTATACATGGAAGAGCGTACGAACACTCATCGAGAATTTTTCTGTATAAACAGCGTAACGAAAGCAAATCTTACTCACGAATTACGAATTTAGTAAGCACAACCAAGGCAATAGCACCTACAATATGTAACAAAATTGTACACTACCTGTTGCTGCGTACTCACGATAAAATCCCGATTTGTCACTGTTCGTTGATAAATGAATATCGCGGAGCTTGTTGGAAGATGACGTGATTGTGTGTGACGACATGGTGTAATTTAAATAACTTAACACGACTTGATGACACACTTAAACTTCACTAAACGTAACAGAATATATAAATGTGTATGTACGTGTGCACTAGTTTGTATTTGCTCTGACTGATAGATGTGGTCTGATGATTGAATGTGTTCTGTCTGGTGGTTGTATACGTCGACCCTTATCGCAACGAATCGACTTGTGATTGGTGGAAAATGCAGAATTTTTGTTGGTGAATATTGTGGAAGAAGTGGGCCTCGGTATATTTATTGTTTCTGGGATTCCTGGAAGTCAGCGCCGAAATACAATGAAGAATGGTTCTTAGGACAGTGAATTTTTTGCACGTGATGTGCCGCTGTCCTGGAATCCCGGTTTATGACGGTTTGTTTAACGTATTCACGGTCCAAGACGCGACGATCCTTACGACCATCGCCTACCTGCGTTAGGACACAACACTGCCATCCATAATTTCTCGGATACTTTGTTGTTTCCAGGAAAATTAAAATTGTATTAAAGGAGAAATATTCCGAGGAACTTTTATTCTTTGATTGTTTTCTTGTGCAAGAGAATGATCCTTAAACGTCCACCTTTCAGGCTTGTTTGAAAATATTTTGTGAAATATGCAATACTTTTTATAGTTGCTCATTCCAACACCATCGGGAAAAGCTGTGGCTATTAGACAACCAGGAAATGAGAAGTAAGACGAAATTATGCAATAGATTAAGTGGAGTGAAATTAGTCGAGAAATTGTTCAAAAATTGACTATCGTATCTGCCATGATTATTGAACGCCATCTCTAAATGAAACAGAATAACTTATTTTTTATGTTTTAGATGTTTTTAGGGTGTAAAGAATTAATACTTTATTCCTTTATTTACTAACATAAGTAATGACTTATAACAATGATTGTTTAATTAAGTAGAAGTAAACTAAATATTTTCTAATATTTTCAAATGAAATAAACTACATACATAATTGTATCCAATTTACAAGATTATTAAACATATAGAATAGTCGATAAAGTACTGTATTTGGATGAAATTACTGATATTTAAGTAGTACATGTTTAATTTTTTAGTGTTTCAATAGTTCTGTAATCTCAAAATGAGCTATTCCTCAATTTTTTTGCAATTATTTAAACAACCGTGTGTAATACATGAATGGTCTTTCAATTTTTTAGACCAGAAAGTGTGTCAGACTATAGCATGGTACGTTGTTTTTATCCAATTCATATTTATTCGAAATATAGAGCGCAACATTATTTAATGAAAATAGAAATAAAACAAGAATTAATTTCTTCCACTTAAAATATGGAGTACTTAACATGTAAATAGCAACTTTATTTAATCTTCATTGGAACATTTATTTTATTAAAATTTATTCAAAATTTATTTTACATTTTATTCAAAGAAACTATCAATGCACAATATTCGCAGTCTAATCGTTTCACCAGCAGGTGTATTTTCCATCCAGGTATTTAAAAAATGTTATAACTATAAAAATTAATATTAGTATTATCATAAATTTAAATAAAACTGACGAATTCTGCGCCAACAAAGCGATACTAAAGAAAGAATTGAATTACAGATTTCTGTATGCATACTTGGTAAGTGATATAACCAGAATATTGATCAGACCAAGTGGTGCAAGTCGGTATATAAAACGCCATCTGTGCCAAGAAACACCAACTTTGTCGCGGCAGCCAAAAATCTTTATAAACAATAATACATTAATCGATCCACTATTTCTATACATAATATCCTCGATTTATTAGAACTTCCTACATCAATTAAAATTTTCGAAAAAAACCTTTAACCTAATTTTGTATCTCGGAAAATAACTAAATATCGTTCGAGATGAATTCTTCCTTTTTTTCAAAAAACGAAATCATAAATATATCATAAGAAGTCATAACAATCAATTCTCCTGACCTAAATCACTTGTTTCCTCCGAATTCCATCAATCTCGCGAATCACAGGTTTAACGGGTTACGTACTTATACGACAAAACTCGTGGATAGAATGTGTCCGTCACTCTTCAAACAACGAAGCAACGTTTCGTGTGTGCCATCAATCTTTCAGAAGCAACATCTTCTCGAAATTTATTAACTGACAATAAAGATTGATGCGACAGTGTTCGCGAAAGACAATATAAGAAGAAAAACCAGCATCATCTCGTTAATCCGCGTTTGATATATCGGCAAGGAGGACAGCATCCAAACGAAGCTACTTATGGGCGCCTACTTGCTCGTGAACGCACTTCGATGTGTCCTGATATAAATACTTCACTCTTAAACGATAAAAAGGAATCCTTGCATTGAGTGATAGAATTCATCGTTCTCGAGTGATTAATATTTAATCGGGTTATCCTATAAGAAATACAAATTTTCTTTGATGCTTGTGGAAAAGCATATATACGTAGAAGATTAATAGTTCTAATTTTTAATCTTGAAACTAGTTTTCAAAGAACATTAATAATTGCAGTCTCCTTGATCAATAATTTTTTCGTTAAAAAATCATCTGTACCACAACCACAGATAAAGATATATACATATATTATACCTTAAGACAGACCTACAATTTTCAAGTATAAATACATTGAGATTTTTGACAAATTTTGTCTTCAATCCATTATCCATTCCAATTTATTGTTAATAATTTTAAGTAGCTTTACTGGTAAAACCAATTACTACCTCATGAAAAGTACACACCAAACTCTAAGTTAACATGAGAATCGTGACTGTTGTTAATAATTTTCATTCATAAAAGTCTACGCAAATGTACCGATCAATAAAAGCGACATTTCGTATGCAACGACATGTACAAGATTATCGCCTAAAAATAATATCTCGCCCAAAATTGACTAAACAACACGATTTCAGACATGCCATACTTGGTTCGTTTTTATTTTAACCCCTATACATAAGAATTGAAAATTTTAGGATGGTTTTATAGTTATGCCACGCAGTGTATATCGCGTACCTACGCGCGGACACTTGCGTACACGAAAATCCAGATGCGTTCAGTATTGAGGTAACGATAAAATATGTTACGTCACGGCCACATAGAATGCAATCATTGGTACACGTGACAGGATATAAATACATTCCAAGGTACTCACACAGAGAAGTGGTATAGGAAGCACTTCCAGCCGGTGGGACGCTCCAGAAAGTTGTAAACTTGACCCTGGAAAGTCGCTTTTCCAGCACGCCGATGTTCCTTCACGTTGTAACGGCCCTCCCACGTGATACGATCGCCGCCAGTGGCCAACAATAATCTTGGATCGACACCTGAGGGCACGTGAAATCTCGGGTCAATATCGAGAGTGTCGAGAGATATCGTGAATCCGGAAATTCAAAAGATCTAGACATGGAACGTGGGTAGTGTTAGCTCCAATACTGACGTACGAAGTCGAAATAATATAGTAATTGATGCCTGGTTGTCTAACATAATTTTATTTTCAAATTTAATGTAGTTCGCAGATGTAAGTACAAACTAACTACAGTAAATCCTCGATGAGTGTTCGAAGACTACTCAGCACTGATCTTGGTAACACTGATTGCTAGTAATAATACCGTTTAAAACTATATCTTCTACCTTTCGAATTTCTACGAATTAATAACGATAACTTGGGCTATTAAATAAGTATGTAATATTTAATATTGCAGTATAATTTGAAACACAACCAACAGCTTCTATTAACAAAACGCATACATTTTCAACGATTTATGGCTTTAAAAACGTAATAAAATGTGTCTGGCTACGTACAGCCTTTTTCACTGTGGCAACCGATGTGTGAATATTTTTGCCCCACCCCTGATAACCTGCCTATGCCCATGGTCCAGACTGGAAACTTTTTGTGCGCACCGCGTTTACCGTAGTTTTCACGTGAATTTTGACAACAGATCGTAAACAGGCATTACAATATATCCTGCGCAACGGACAAGTGCATTAAGAAAGGAACAATGACCATGAACGTCTCACCTCCGCTAAAAGCATCATTGTTGTCGGACTGCAATGTGGCGCTGGTGTCGGATAAGGGCGACGGAGTCGGCCTTAAATCCGACGGCGGTTCCAATCTCAGTAAATCACCACCGCCATCTCCACCGGCACCATTTCCTTTCCCGACCTGTACAATCGTCACATTCAGTGGTCCCCGGTTACCTGCCGTAAAACAGAGAAACCGCAATGAGACCCGGACACCAAAAATATACGTCGCCAGCGATCCCCGCTAATTCCTAGAGAAGACTCGTATTTACGATCCTCGGTGAAATAGTCTGTTTTAATGCCTCCCTTCCACCACCGGCTCCCAAAAAGGAAAGCTTCTTGCGCGTAATAATACATTTTTCTGGGAAATTATTATAATTAGACTGTGCATTTCCTTTTTAGATCGATAATGAACCCACGTGGCAACAGTTAATTATACTGTGCATTATTCCGGATGTACACTGATGATGATTCACAGGGTGTATTCTAAATGCTAAACTGAAAGGAATGTCAAGAATGACGAAATTGCGTTCGAGGCTTCGTTTCCGAGTTGTTAACGCTATGACTACTGAGCCCGTTAAAATGACGGATTTCAGATTTTTTATTTTACGATTACGGAAATTCTAAAAATACCGTCATCGGAATATACGTTAACCTGTAATTTCTTATACATTTCATATTATAGTATACTAAGGTATATTGCATTATACCGGGTGTAACGACAGGGTTGTAGGTCCCTGAAATGAATGTGGTATTAAAATAAAATGCATTGACCTTGAAAAACCTCAAGGTCACCTTGATGTCTAAAAAAAAACTAAAATAAACAAATAAAATTTTATCCATCCGATGCGTCCCTAAATGTAATAATTTATTAAAACGTTGTTTGATCCAATCAATAGATAACGAGTTAATTTTAAATAGTAGTTATTATTGACTCACCCTGTATATTAAACCCATACTAAATTTCTAAATTGATGCTAAAAAAGAATAAAATTGAGACAACCCGAAAAAGTGGTAATTTTTTTATTGGCCACTACTATATTTGACTTCCTTTTTTCACTTCATCACAATTAATGTTGACATAATTTTAACATCGATTAATCTTTCTTCTGATTTTGCGTAACTGTTTATCAGGCCTGGCTAACGGTCTATTTTCAGAATGTAAATTATATTCGTCTAGAGAAATGGAATTAGTATCGCAATGACAGGCGATGAAGCTCTGGGGAACGTTGCTAAGTGGTAATTAACCTCCGTTTCATCGAGCCTAGTAACCTAAACCGAAGCTAAATACATTTTATCTATAATATCTGTCTCGAATTTCGCATTTAATCGATATATCGAGAATATTTATCATAATAATCCTAATGTAAGGTGTAAAGATTAGAACCATACAAATGGCGTCTACATGAAGTTAAACGTCTAAGTCATTCTGTTAAAGCTTCATAAGCTATTAAGTGACTCTAATACCCCCCTTTATTAGTACCATAAAAATTAATTAAAACAAATATTCGCTGCAAAAATCTATTGTATAAAATCACTATAATAATCAATACATAAATTTAAGAGTGATGTAATAAATGTTTCTAATACTATATATATATATATATATATCACCAGACATAAAAGAACATACCTGTAATCAAGTATTTTTCAAAACAACTAGTTTCTATGGAACTTTCATAAAAATCAGCGTGTTACACTTGAGCGATGGCCCCGTGATAGATTGAATTTTCCCTATTACCGCCAGCAGTTGGCAAAATGCTTTCGAGACCACCATTATAACATGCATTCCGATGAACCTACTTGCCTCGACTCGCCTAAAATCTGTTAACGTCCGTGACAAACCAATTAAACACGACTGAACTCGGTCAGGTTTGATTTGAACTTGACTGAAAGCAGGAGAACTATACACATATTGTACTGAAAGTCGACAGCAACCAGTCGAGATCCGTGGTAAATTGTATAGTATTCGATCAGGTCCAAATCAATTTCAGCTCACCCGTTAATTAGCACTGGCGGGTCGTATCTGATACGGTCAACTGTAAACGACGTACGCCCGAGAGGACTACCATTGAGTGTAACCTAAATTACGTGTTCCTAAGCGGCAAAGGGGAACACGCTAACAAACCCTAGTAGCATTTATGGTTGGCCAACGATATTCAACAGTTGGGAGTTAGTTGGGATATAGTTAGTATTTTTGCCTACAAATTTCCAAAATAAGGCCTACGACGAAAAAATTATGACAATTTGCCAACGAAGTATTAAAAAATCTTATGGTAGCTCGAATCGATAATTATAAAATAATTCTTCGATTATTAAACCTATAGTACATAATAAATCAGATACCACTTTTAGAACTAGTAACCAGGAAATATTAAATAGTTGCATAAAAGACTCGAAATCGAAATTATTATACATGATATAATATGAACATTATTCTTTAATAGTTTATTATTGATGGTCCTAAATGAATATTGTTTTGATATAATAGTATCAAAATTCAACAGTCTGTGTTTATGTGAATAATAATATCATGAACATGGTGAATTTTTTTAACACGTAACAAACGTCCTAATACTTATTAACACGAGTGTACATTAATAGAAGGATACGACTATATAGAGACATGCATCGATGGCAACGTTTTGTGTGTACACTGTTACTGTAATAAAGGAAGACTGTAAAATTTTACGATTCTGCTGCCCGTAAAGCTCAGGCTTTCACTACAGGAGGACATTAAATTATATGTATAGCTTGACCGTCAGCTCCATTCTCTGACTTGATCCTAATTTTAAAGAAATTTGAACATTTCTACACAGCAAATTCTCTTTTATATGCTCTCACACGAAAATATTCGTGGTGCTCGTCAGTTTTTAATTTTGTGCTCTACACTTTCAGTAAATATACAGTGAATAAAAGCAACGTATTATAACAAAAGCAAACAATTTTATCCTTTAGATACGATTACTTGTACAATTAAAAAAATGGAGGAATAGACAATTTTGATGTCACAGAATATTTCACACACTGTACAAACCATAATATTTCTGCCACGTAGTTCATATGGTAATATAAATTCGTGCATATAATAATGTATTGGAAAACCATTAACGTTCTGAAAATACTTGCTCTAAATAATTGACACCAATACATTATGCATCACTCGATAAGACATTTTTGTAATTCATTTCTCATAATTATAAATTTTTCAAAAATCCCATAGTTTCATTCGACTCTACAGATTATTTATGAGATTCACATAAAATAATTGCAAAGAACATTATATGTATGACGTTTGCCGAAACTTTTTTTATGTAAAATAAAGAAATACAATGTTGAACTATTTGTATTATTACATATCATTTTTTAAGACGATCACGTTTACATGCTGGACAAACAAACTTTAGTTCTGTAGCTTTGCAAACTTCGTGTCCTCATCTATATGTACACATACAGGGTGTCCCCGCGAACAATGTACAGTCCGTTAGTTTTTAAACTATTCGAAATACGAGAAAATTGTTTACATAAAATTGAATTGCACGAAGGGACTAACGGGCTATGGCGAATTTTATTTAACATTATTATTTTAAGAGATGTCAAGGTCATGTTTATTTATATATATATATATATTTATAAATTTGAAATAACGATTTAAATGTTTGGGTGTTAGTGGGTTAAGTAGGAGACATCCTTAGAGTATTACGGCATTAAGGGGAAAAAAATCGATATGTTCGATCTGGAAACAATACGGAATATCTCACCTGTTCTGGAAGGAGGAAGTAGCAATCCTTGCACCTCCTCGAGGGGCATCGCCTGTCCGTGATGATCTCGGTAAGGCCGATGCGGTCGATCTTTCATGCCTCCTCACGAACGCACTGATTGCGTTCGTCCTCACGAGCTTTCCCGTTGAGTAACAATAACGATTGTTGTTAGAGACTAGGATCGGGACCAAACACGGTATTTGGTGCGGATGACGGGGTGAGTCCTTAGGGACTCCTGGCGATGACTGCGGACGGTGGTAGAGCGTCATCGCCCCGCCGTCGTCCCTAAGACCATGCCCAAGTCACCAATAACTGTGAGTTAAACGGTTCTCACTGAAGCACTCCAAGAGACTTTGTCTTCTTCGACTCTGAAAAACGAAAACAGGAGATCGCATTAACCTCCGAAGGGGATATTTTCATCCTGAACAACCAAGAGGTAACCAAAACGAAAAATTGTCTGATACTTCTATCGAGGTCTTTTACAAAGCTGCGATATTTCAAAATATTGAAATTTTTGCGTTATCTACAGTTAAATCATGTTTACTCGTAGGAGGTAATATGGTCCACTTAAACGAGTTAAGCCGTATCCTTTTTCACTTTACAATTAGACAAAAAGTGGTATAAAGAAAAATTAAATAATTTCAAAATATAGTAGAGAAAATAAGCTGTTTTAAAATATTTTAATAGAATGCCTAATGAAAACAGTGAAAATACGGTGCACAACGTAATTCGAATGTAATAGAAAAGATTTTATACATTTTCTGTAAAAAATTTTTAATATTCTTGGCGAAAATGTTATCCGAGGCTTTGTTAACGAGATATTAACGAAACCCCCCGACCAATCAGAGCTCAGCCGACAGACTCGCGCTGATTGGTCGGGGTTTTTCGTTAATATCTCGTTAGCAAAGCCTCGAATAAAATTTTTGCTGAGGAAAAACTTTTTCTGGGACCATTTCAGGGACGTACAACACTTTTGTTACACCCTGTATAAATCGTAAATCTGTAGGTCAAAACGATACAGATGTCAACTCGTATACGTAAACATTATCGAATCTCGTTAAAATTTGATAGAATTACGTCGATTGAGTTGAATCATAAATAACTTACACCGATGACATTGAAGAATGAATGTACTGATATTTACGGTAAACACATTGTGTTCCGACCAATTGTAACTTTTTCACAAATTATTTACACAAAATTAAGTAAACTAATTCTTCCAACCTCGCAAAAAAAAACTCAAATCACTTGGTCGAATTTAAAAAAAGTTGTTCTGTTTTGAAGGTTGTGTGAAGACTTTTTTTACCCCCTGTATGACCACGCAACATAAATTGAAATGTAGGCCAGACTTTGTCACGAATGAGACAGCAGTCGTTTCGTCATAAAGACTACAATAAGAAAAAGTGTGTGAAGAAGAATACAAAATAAATTGGTACACTTTCGAAAATGTACGAAGTCTCCTGTTACAAACGTTCCAAATTAACATCAAAACGAAAAACAGTCACTGAACATCTCTTATAAAAAATCTCTAATAAAAATGTAATTTTAAACGAGCACTCGTTTTAATTTCTTCACTTTTAATTCGCAGAGACCTTTACGTTGATTGACTTTATTTTTAGGAGTACCATTACAATTCTTCCGATTAGTTCGGAGCATTCAGACCATTTTTACCGGTAACCCAATTTAGGTCACCTATTGATTACTGCTCGGGGAAAAAGAAAGTTGTTTCTTATGGATAAGGCGCCGATTACGGTACCCTCGAAACTTATCATTAGCCCCAGAAACTGTCCTAGAACAGTTTGTCAACCACTCACATGTCGCTACTTTATACTGTTTTTTGCTTACCATTTTCCATGAAACTTCCTTTTGCTCCACAATTGCCCTTACAGAACGCAATTAATTTAATAAAATACCTGTACATTTATAAGGTTCGTATTATTACGTTGTACCATATGAAATTGCCGATAATGAATAGTTGACAATCAACCGCGATTAATAAACTAAATATGGGCTACATTTTTTGTTGTGCTAGTCAGAAGTTATAACATTAGTATATTCTTTTCTCGATTATTGTCTTCTTAATATGATGGTTTAACTATTCTACGTAAGCACAGAATATGGTGAGAAAACAACAGTCCCCAATATTTTTCCAACCTGAATTTAAATTAGGTCGTGGAATAATTAGCTGAATTAACCCTTTCAGACCTGGAGGTCACATTTATGTACATGAAATTTCTTACAATTTCACACAAAGACAATGTTATTCAATTCTGAATTCACTAGACCTACTAAAACCATTCAGACCGTAAGAAATTCAAATTTATAAAAAACATATTGATCTGCAACACACTGCACCTAAGGCTTTGTGTGAAATTCTAAGAAACTTCATGTAAATCTAGCCACTAAGTCTGAAAGGGTTAACATTGTTCTTCCAAACCGGACATCGAACACTGCGTCCATACTAATCCATCATAAATAAAGTCAAAACTGAATAGGGTAGATACAATACGGAACGATTATAAAAATCCTTAGCCTCGAACTGCGTGTCGGAGCTCCCACCGTTTGATTACTACCGACACGGCCCTCCTACCACGACCTACGATACTTCCGTCTATGGACAATTTTTAAGTCCGTGTATTCCTTGGTCATTGGTGTATAGACGTACAGACCCGTAGTATGTTTGCTTGGAGTACATATTACGTGCGTGTGAAATAGATCGATAGGAAATGTGTCTCGGTTACCAGGTCTAGTTCAGCGGAATTGTATAATACTAGATCGCACGGTAAAGACATGCGATCCGTTCGTGTCTCATAAGGCCGACAGTGACCTTATCGTCGCACGTGATGTTCCTTTTTTATTTTCCGTTGCAATTTTTCTTTCCCAAACTAATCATAGTTAACGGGCGTGAAAAAAACCGTGGAAAATGTTACGATAATGTGACAACGTCTGCTGACACGAACTTCACTTTTTTCACACGTTATTTTCCCAAGAGTAAGCAGCGCGAGGCGAGGCACGACATTCGCAACGCATGTCACGTAACTGGTATTCATTTAACCGTTCGAGGGACAGTAGAAATAATTGATACCTAAAAAATTTTGCACTGTTTATGAAGCTCTATAATCCGTTAACGTATAATCTTAGCAAAATCTTGATGCAAAATCTAACCTCACTTTTTTTCAAATGGACCACTACTGTGGAACTTGAAGTTAACCAGAGTTCCAATGTTTAAATTGAATTGAAAACAGAAAGGGTGTTTTTTTCTTATAATATTATTACAATTTTCTAACATTAAATTGTATAGAAAAGTATTAGGCTGATAGATCCGCTCTCCCCACTTAAGGGGTTAAGTAAAAGGATTTTAAGCCAATAAATTTGTTATATCTTTTTTTATATACACTACGTACTTTGCTATTACTGGTATACTTTTCATTACTGGAATATAACAAATATAACTGTTATTTTTTTCAACAAATAGTTGCATGTATTGGTTTGAATTATGCAGAAATGTGTATTAATTGAACGTAGTGCCATGATGATACTGTTAGTGAACAAAATGTATTCATAGGGTTGCAAAAAAAGCTTAAAACGTCGAACAGGTAAAAGTATCTCATGGCCGGTGACACATTAACAAGGTAAATGTTGTGACATTATAGAAGTAATCAATAGCGTCACGAGTTGACAAGAATAGAGATGCATGTGGCAACTACAGGATGTATCATCCACTATTTTCATGCTTCGGTGTTGGAGTGTATGGTTTTTTTCTTCTTGGAGTAACCGAGAATTTTTGTTACTTCCATTAATGGCTACGATCTCAGACCTTCGGGCATTTTTACCAATATCCTAAAATAACAATCACGAGATAGTTCTCTTTTTTCATCAATATAGTGTCTACCTTTCATTTAGCTGTTGGTGTTTTCTCGTTTTACGTTTCCGATGTTTTCTTTACATTTTTACAGTAGTATGCTTTCTCATTTGTTTCACGAAACAAGAATTCTGTTCCCATGTTTTTTACTTCGTGATTTACAAACAGAGTAATAACTCTTCTATTCTTTATTATATTTTATTTTTTCGTGGCAAAGTAATACAACTGTATTCTGTACGATTGAAAATAAGACGGAAATATTACACGAACATTAGTTAATATACACGGTGTCGTGTAATTGGTGGTACAGTCGACTAGGGGATAATTCTACGTGAAAAAATAAGTCGAAAATGTACAATAAAATTTTTTCCTTCGTTACTTCGTTTTCGAGATATTCGACTTTAAAGATCTGCTGGATACACGTGCAATTCAATAGGACCTGGCTAGCGTTTCAGATCAATTTTCACAGTTGATTTTCTCGAAAACGAAGACTCAAATGAAAAAATCTTATTCCATATTTTCGATTTAGTTTTTCACGTCATATAGAAAAAGCGTTATATAGAAAAAATGACGACGATACTACTATCAACGTGGGAAGAATAACGCGAAGAGGTAAAAATAAATCCATTTCATAATGCACTCCCCATATGATGCACCGAGTGAAAGAGGAAAAATAAGAGAATGCATTATTACGGCATCGGGACTATCGATTATACGCCACTATTTATTCTGGTGTGGACGTCAATTTGTTAAACATTCCGATTTCCGCTAATTAAATTGCCAACAAACGAACTGCGCTTCGTATCGATTTAATAAATTACTGGGACAAGTTGGTGTACATACGTAACTGCATCTGAAGATGCTCGTATAAAAAAGTGACATTTATTGTACCAATGAATGGTGGAAAAAAGAAACAGGAAAGCTAATTGTATTGCAATTTGTACTTCAAACACTCATCCAGGATTTACTGTATACAGAATCTTATTACATCCTTGTAATATATTATCAATTCCAAAATAATGAAACTTAGGGTCGAAGACTATAGTTCCTTTTTCTGTGCAACTGAATAGGTTCTACATGCTAAATTAAAAGGAAAATCAAGAATGACGAAATTGTTGAAAATACGGGCTATACATGCGTAAAATACTTCTAACACGACGGGTTATTTTACTTGAAAGGTTCTTCAACTGTTTCACGAGTTGGTTTCATTCATTTCATTTTATTTCATTCATCAG